GTCTTGAACTGAACGAAAGCAAAGCCGGCAATGCCTTTGGGCTCCTTCTTGGAGGGAGGGAGTATGATGTCAGTGAAAGCGCCAAACTCAGAACATACGTTTTGTAGCTCTTCCTTTGTGGTCTTCATAGAACAAAGTATCAAATAGACTGGTCCACATAGTGTTCTCAGTTTCCTAATATAAGAGAAAACATACCGTGTAAGGTAAGTTCTTTATAATCAATCTCCAAGACTTCAACTTAGAATCATTGTGGTAATCACGCTTCCCCTTTAAGTTGCTTATCTGCTCAGACTTACCACTTTCTTGCTTGGTTTTACCTAAAAAACACATTTATATTTCGGGAGGACCTAAAAAAACACATTTATATTTCGGGAGGACCTAAAAAAACACATTTATATTTCGGGAGGACCTAAAAAACACATTTATATTTCGGGGGCATAAGGTATCTAATTTACAAGCATTCTCACCTGTACTATCAATGTGGGGATCCAATAGAGAGAGAGAGGGCTTGCAAAAATCAGCTTTTTAAGCGATTGAAGAGGTATTAGCTGTACTAACATTTGCTCCAATGATAGATGCAACGCACCATTTGGTTCACAGATCAGTGACAGACATTGGCAAAATTTTGTCTACGTTTTTACAAGTACCCTATTGTGAGAAGCTGGACATGTGGGCTCACCTAACAAAGTATTCTCAAATGAAATGCCTTGGGCAAAATCAGGAAAGTGGGAAGGTATAAAGCAAAGTAAAAATTCCACTGGCATTAGAAGTAGCTTCTATTGTCATGTTTGTGACTCCTTGCTCGATAAAAGCATAGAACGAATGCTACGAATGTGGAACGATTTGACGCACTAGGCAATAACTCAGTAGGGCCCCTTACGACGGTGCTGTTTGTTGGGTATATACCTCGCTTAATGGAAATTCAGGAAGTTCAAGTACATACTTTGCTTTATATTAATAAAACGCTGTTGCCCACTTACTCTCGTATATGGGAACTATTAACAAACATCTAAAATGTCAGGTGATGCAAACTTCTAGGTTGATTGAAAATCATAAAAATATTCAAAATCCTAGAAACTGATACTTTTTAGGCTGATATTGTATCAGAATATTGTTCTTGACAGCTAAACATGAATCTCAAATACTTTGAAACGTTCCGAAACCTACAAAGCTGTAAAAGTTGTTGGTATATCGAACGTTTTTAGTGGGCTAGCAATTTTTTTTCAAGAAAAGTACACGTCTAGAGTGTACTGTTCAGAGCTTGGTGTGGCTACTGTCAGAATGGCCTCTAGGTTGTGGAAGAAGTTTCCTGCCACTTACTTACTTAAATACTTAGATGGCCTGTCTTCACTTGCAGACCACAGCACTGTTTCCAACCGTTTCTGTTTCTCGCTAGCGTCATCCAGGATGTTGGTAATGAAGTGCGACGGCGATGCTCGCGAGGTCCAGATCCATTGCTCGTTACCAGCTGCGAGTTCAGCTGGTCCATCCGTGCAACGAACACGTCAGCCCATTTGGTCGGTGACCTCCCTCGAGGAGGTTTTGCTTTGCGAGGAGTCCATTCCAGAGTTCTTAATGTCCATCTGTCGTCCATCTGTTGCCTGTCCTTCTCATTATATGACCAGCCCATCAATGCTTTGCCGTAGAGACATATTCCGCTGGATCGCGAAAACGAGACATTGATCTCATATCTAACTGCGAAATCCGACGAGATGTTGGGTACGTCGGTTGCACTTCAGAAGACGTCGTTCCAGCGCTCTGTGGGTTGTTCGAAGAGTGCTGCGTAGCAGAGCACAGGGAAAACAGTTGAATCGAACAGGTGGGCTCGGAGCTCTGGCTCCGCAAG